ACGCCAACCTGACAGATGCTTGTAATAAGGCAGGGGAATTTTCTCGCCTACTCTTTTCGATGTTCTCCCTTCGCTATCTTTGGCGCGCGCTGGCTCGAAATCCATTCTGAACAGTCATAAAAATTCATGCTGCCAATCAGATATTGTGCTACCTATTCTGAAATAAGAATAAACTCTTTATGTATGCATAAATTTAAAATAATTACATGTTTCGTTCTGATCCTCCTGCAAATTAATGCACCAGGCTTATAGAGGATCACATATAGAGGAGACAAAGATTTAACAGTATTTTAGTGTTTAGCGTCTAGATTCCAACAAGGATTCTCCAAAGTTGCAGATGCAGCAAATAAGTTTCTAGGCGTTTTGCATCTGCTGAATATCACAGTGCTACTATAATAACGCTGTGGTAATAAATCACATATAATCCCAGCTGACAAACCATGTGCAACTGGTGCAAACATTAATGTGTCAGCAGTTAGAACAATCAATAGGTGCAAATGCGAGAGAATTTGACACTTCTTAGACGTAATTACATGTTTAGTAGCAGAAATAGATCCACATCTATTTTTCAAGAATGATCTAGTCTCTCCTGGTCTCATTGCCCATATATGAAAAAAATGGCATCAAGTAAGTTGACTCTTCACTTCTCACGCTACGCTACGAACAAATCAAATGACCTTCCTCTGCGGAAGCGACTGCCGACTGTGACGTACGACCACCGACGATGACGCTTGTCCATCGGGGGACCATGTATCGTTTTAAGGGTAAATGTACGGGGACATCTATGATGAGTGAAATACACCTAACATGTGCGTACAATTACTGGAGTTGGAGACATATACATAAATATACCAACGTAAAAAAATTGAGATATACCCTCCCCCACTTCCAGCAACCACCAAACCCCAATTATTAACCCCCTTAATTTTTTTTCCGAAAATGATAGTTCTCATTATGGATACAATACAATAAAATTATCCTTACCTCCACGCTAAAAGTAGGGTCACATTCTAAAAGCAGCGGTGAAAGCACTTCATGAGACAAAAGAACTTATTGAGTTACATCTTCGGCGCGAATATACCGCGCAGAAACCCATGATAAAAGTGTTTAAGCTTTTTCGTGAGCAATTTAAGTATATATCAAAACAGCGACTTCAATATCTAGTTCCTGTATAATCCGGAACACTTCTGAAATATCTTCCCACAGATGCGATGCCAGATAATAACTCTAAACACTTTATTAGAAAGTCTGTGGCTAGAAGTTTGTATGTTAATTGACTAGTATAGTCTAATCATACTACCCGAAAATACCCCTGGTTTACGAAATAATTATAGAAGTCTGGTTTTATTGATGCAATTGTTCAAGGGGGTATATAAAATAGGGACACATAAAATGGGTACACCAATTTTTGTGGGAAAACTTTTTATCCGACAACAAAGAATGAGAAAACGTCATTTTGGGATTCAATGGAAAGTGTTCGTATGAACGAAAAAAACCCTTCAAATAAGACTTTTACGTATTTATGGGACGTACAGGATGAGACCACATGTAGAAATATCCCACTAAGAGTAAAAAAGTTATGGCCGAAAACCGAGGCAAAATGCAGGTTTTGGAATTTCACGCAGCTACTTGAAACTCCTCAAATCCGTAGGCTTCATACTTCTATATAACCACAACAGAATTGGAGTCGATCTGTCAAGTAGTTTTTGACAATTTCTAATGGTTTATCCCAGAACACCTGTCTTCCAGCCATCACTACTAGTTTATTGAGCAATATACAGGGTTCGTTCAAAGGGCATTTTATAGTAAAATACACGAGCTTACCTTGCCGACATAAATCACAAGCCATTCAAAAAGATAATTGTTATTTTTATGCGAAAAACGAAGGGTTTGTTTTTTTTTCTTCTAAACAAATTCAAACATTTCGTCTTAAAGTAATTGAACAGATTCGCTCCAATATTCGAAAAACATACGTTATTATACTTATTTTAAGCCTTATGTTGCGAAGCAAAATTTTTCTTCGTAGTCTTGTGTATTCATATTCAGAGCTGAAATTCTTACAAGGTCATAGATGAGCCTAGAATGTGAGTTCAAAATGTTGGAAAATAAACTCGAGAAAAAAAGTATTAGACAAATATCAACCAATTGTAGCGAACTGATCATCTGAAAAGTTAGGCAAAATGCTCGGTATTAGTCCCTAATACATTATTTAAAGTTTCAGCATTGTATCTTGTATAGCTGTCAAGAGTATTCTAATTACTTGTAACAGATTTGATATGCCTCCAACGTTCGCTTGACATTTGTCAGTGTCAAGTACAGTCCAATAATCCAAGAGGCGCCACAGCGTAATTGGAAGGGTTAAGGTGAAGGTTCGAATCCACAAGGCTCTTTTTTTGAATTTGGAGAAATAAATGCTTGCGTCAATAAAACTAGACTTTACAACTATTTCGGGGAAATTTGCTAATACGGGTATGATTAGACTAGTATGCACGTTGATATGGATGTAGATAAATACCAAAGAGCTATCATAGACCGAGCATCGTACTCATAATACTGTGTGATAGGGTTCGGATAACTCAGCTTGGAGGACCTGAACTTCGTAAGAAGAGGTACAACATACTATTTTTTTTTGAAAAATAGCTGAGAGCCATTTCCCATAAGGGTTGAACATTAAATAGTGAACATGAAAACAAAATAAATTTTCTAGTGCCAATATATTGATATTTTCGAAAACACCCCATCGATGCCAAATGACAGGCGCGTATTTACCCTAGGGCCAACGGGGCCATGGCTGAGAGGGGGCGGCTCAAAGTGCCTCGATCAAAAGCTTTTGATTTTTCCCATGCCTTTATTAGGCGGTAAACATTGTGGACCCAGGCTGCAGGATCGTAAAGGCGGTAAAGCCAGAAGATCTGATTGTGCTGACAGTTTCAACTTGGTGGAAAGTTGCACTTATACTTTACATTAAAGACACCTCCTACAAATTTCTGTTCGTGCTCAGAAGGTATTATCACTTAAATTGATTCGAGTTACAGCCGAACAATTTATGTCACAATTGACCTTCAAAACACTGATCCATACAGTATAATTAAACGTTTCCAAATAGAGACGTTCAATAGCGGCTGAAATATGATCGCGTGTACCTATCTTCATTAGCAAAAGTAATTGTATATTTTCATTTGAATTTGTCTCACGAACTGACATACAAATAAGGAGACTTGCGACTCCTTGCAGAATACGTCTTGTAAACAACCTGCCTTCATTTGTTAACCAGCAGACGTGGGAATGAGAAATTTGAATTCAGAGTGCAGTTAGTAAGAAGTATGTATTGTAAGTAGGTATTCATATTCTTTTGGTTAGACCGACGACATATCACTTGTATGTTTTGCTCTATACTAGATTATATCAGGCGCACAATACCATAGTTTAAAATCTGTTACTTCAGCCGACATTTTAATTTTTTCGAGGAGTGAAGATTTATGGTGGTTGGGTTTATCTATAAATTGGGTTCTAATTGATGTATATCTGGTTCATACGAACTTTGCCCGTATATTTTATCCAGATACTTAGATTGCACGATGCCCGCGACCTATTCAGGGTAACCTAGATAATACGTAGTTAATCAAAAATACTATACATAGTATTTTAGGAAAATATTTTATTAAAAATGAAGCACCAGATGTGCTGATTTTATTTCTTTAACCACGTCATGTAGATGCCCTCCATTTCATTTCAAGCAGTAGCTTTTATTAACACGCTCATATTAGCTTGACGTATATTATCATAATAATAATAATAATAATAATAATAATAATAATAATAATAATAATGTATGAAACGGAATCTATGAGCATAACTTTCACCAATTTCCAGAAGTTTGATTATTTTGAAACTTCGCTCACGTATCAAGGACCGATGAGAATGCAATATCATGACGTGTCCACAAAAAAATAATTGATAAATCGAACTAAAAAATGAAAAATAAATAATAGTTTAAGAAAACTAAAAAAAAACACGATTTTATGGTAGAAAGTAGAAAATAATTTTTAATTATTCTGTTTTTTTTTTTTAAGTTTTATTATAATTTTTTTGAGGTCATTAATTATGATTGATTGTTCCACCATCTACTACAGTAATATAAGGTATTGTACTGAAAATTATTTTCTACCTTTTAGTTTGGTTAGGTATGAAAGCGTGTTTTTTTAGTTTTTTTAAACTAATCTTTATTTAACTTGACCTTTTTGTTAGTATGATAGTACGTGTGTCTAGGACAAATCTTTGATGCTAATTTTGAACCAGTTAACCTCAACCAATTGGGCTAAAATTTTGTACAAACATTTGGTTCGCGTGACAATAAAGAATGAATCAACTGTTGCCACTTTTAATCATACAACATGGCTGATGCTTCAAAATGACGATTCATCATTTTCATAGTAAATCCTATTCTATGGGTATGAAATGAAAGGGCTTGATGAGAGAAACACGAGAACCAAACTGAGCCTCGTCGCAGGCTGGTCTGTATTCTGCGTTTTACTTCCTATGCAAAAACTGGCAAAAAATATTGAAATCTGAAAATTTTCGGAACTGAGATACGCTTTTTGGATGCTATATGACAGGTACATCACGAAAAACCGTGAGAAGAACTGCTTTTTATGTACATATATTTTTCTGAATTTTATGATCCTTAAACGTGCTACTGATTTCGCATAACGTTGAATTTGTGTTACTTCGTCTATGATGACTCTGTGAATACTCCGTCAAGTAGATTGACTCGGCACTTATGATGCATTGATATACAACAGACACGGATTGACAAACCGACATAAATGAGAAACACGGACTTGTGTGATGCAGATATCTTTAAGCAACGGAAAACTTGTGAACCGAAGTTCGAATAATATTGCGAGTCTATTACTTCCATCGTTTCGGTAATCATAGATTTTGAAGACTGATTCATAGGCGGAGGAATAAAATCGCTGGAACATAGTGTTGCAACGTTTACAGATTCCTGCTCATTGTTAGACACTGTTTGGAGGGGATAAAAATTATAGGTCATAGTTGTTGCATATTTGGTGTCAGTTTATTATTAAAAAGCTGCTGATCTCAACGACACTATGTACCTGTTAGACATAATAAGTAACACATATTTTCTCTACATCTGCCATGGAAACAAAAATATGATAGATTTGCATTGTATAGTTCGATGTGCAGTGGTTGAAGATTCATTGCACCTAAGTGAACCTACCTAATCGCGATTTCATGTTGCCTCTTTGAAACGATTTGACTCACCTTTGACACCTCCAACGAAGGCGTAGGAAGTGTAGTGTCACTCCACTGGATGCCATTTTTTCATTGAACACAAGAGCATCAACCTATATCTCCAAATAGGTATGAAAAAGTATTAGGATGATTTATGAGGAAGCAACACTGAGAAAAGTCTGCTCCTATATTACACATATCAAAGACCATTTATGGAAAAGGACTCAGCTAGTTTGCTCAACTGGCAAAATTTTTGACTTTTAATCAAACATTCAACCGTATTAATCTTGCATAGAAAAACAGTCTGTGGGAAGCGTATAGCAATAAATGAATATCTAACATATAAAATGACGGCTTCAGAAACGTTAATTGGACTTTGTATGAGATACCTCCAGTCATACCATAACACGCTTTCAATGAAAATTAAAATAAATACTGGCTGGTTCAAATGCAGCTTTAATGTTCGTTTTCTATTTTCCGATAAAGTCAGTGTGCGTGTGCAATGTGTATATGTAGGTAATGTATACTTTAGTTATGTTTAATTGCCTGTAATGTCGTTAATACCATCCTTGCTGCGGACATGTTGGAGTATAGGTGGGCTAACACGGGCTTTTACTCTTATCCCAGAATTCTTGAGACTATAATTAAGTCCTGCGATTCTTGCAAACTGAATGAATCATTTACGCATAATTAGAAAATGGCTTCAAGTAGATTGACCCTGTACTTCTTAGTTTGAAAAGAAATCGGAATTAGGGACTTTGGATATGCGACATGTATCTGACTCAAATTTTATACGCCCTGGTATCTTTACTATCAGACGATTATGAAAGCTCTTAAATCTAGACACAGAGGTAGTGTAGTAGATTGAATAAGTGTAGAAAATGTATTGTTGAAATTTTTTTAAATAATCTGTTTTCAGTATACGTGATGAATTTTTTTACGCCTGTATAACTGCATGCGGTAATGTGAGATTACGTGAGGAATAAGGACTAAAAATAAATGAGATAATGCATTCTTCACATTTTCTCCATCTCAACTCGCTAGGGGTGGAGATATATTCAGTAAGTCACATCTGATAACTACTGCCCTAACGTTGTCACCTAACCTGATTATTTAGATCTAATACATTGTATTGCGCTTATGGTAGCGATTCTGTTATGAATTCGCATAGTTGACGACGCTACGTCACCCACGACTAAAATACCTTCTCGACAATTGAGATGGAAAGTAAAATAAAACGCAGGCTTCTGGAAAAATCAATCTCCGCGGTTGGTCTTTGTCTGCCCTGTGCTTAGCAAACCTATTTGTACCCCTTTGTAACAGCATCATCTACAGTCATCATGCAATTTAGTATTAAACTTTATTTTGTATTAATCACGTCGCAACTAATACGTTTGGCTCATATTATATAATCAATCAATAACTATAAGCATGTTACTTACATTCTATTTTGGTATCGTCCTTTGAAGTACACTTGCGGCAGTACGGTTTTTATACCATGTTAATTGGGACCGACTGCTACACTTGCGCAGACGCAGGATGTTCTAACAAAAACGGAAAATAGCTTCATGGAAAAACTATAATGGCTTAGAGAAGTGAGCTACATAGTTTCTTGTGATACACATGTCACGTAATATCAAGAAAACATAATATCAGTTTTTCGCGATTGCAATACTTCCTCGCCAATTGGACTGAGAAGTAAAATACAAGAAACAAGATTTCCTAAGTAGGCCTTGCATTGGTCATTTGCTTCATATCATCAACCAAGCATTTCTTATGTTTTTGCCTGTAAACAATACGTACTTCAAATTTTTATGGCAGCACGATATATGTTGGTATTATAAAAGCTCAAATGTCTATGACAGCAATCTTCCTACAGGTGGTCAAAACTCATCAAATGAATAGTTTTAGTTTTAGTTTTAGTAGGAAAATAGTTTGATTGTTAATGTGCATCTGACCTTAAATATAGTCACTAGAAAATAAAAATAATTTTAAGATCATTCGGTTTTTCCATCTCTCCAGAAATACTCTCAATCGCGAAACTTTGTAAGTGCCAATTTCTCAGTTACCTCAATGCGCAAATTTGCCTTCATTCAAATGGTTCCGAATCTCTTACCGTTTCCGAGATCCCAATGACAAGACTCGAATCTGAAATACCCGACATACAACTAAATGATTTTGCACCGATATCAATTTGCGAAAACTATATTCCAATATCTTTATCAGTTTTTCCATAAAACAACTTTTTATTGTAATTGGGACGCGCTGTAGAATGTTATACATTCACGACAAAAGCTTTGATTCAACTTTGATCTTTGATGTCTATGTTTTAGGTGAATCTACAATGGGTGTTCTATGGAGTATGCTGGGCTACAAGTGCGCCGAATTGAGGGACGACGATCCAGATCCAGTAACTACCCTGACTTCAAAAGATAAATTTATTATCCGGTCATCCTGGGCTAGAATAATGAAGAACCCCATTGAAAATGGAATAGCGATATTAACTTTGTAAGTTGGTAGTTGATGTCAACATGGTTAGAAGTTTAGCAAAGCGATGATTACGATTTTTGTTCAACCCAAATATCTTCCATGGCAGTGAGGACGATTCATGTTACTTTTTTCTGTATTTACTCAAGTGATGTATAGTGGTTCTAATCCTAATTGAACCAGCAAAATATGTCACAGAGATCCAAAAAGTGTGTAATCTCATACAGATAAAAGATAGGAATTGTTGAATCGCTTATCATGGTTCAACGTAAAAGACTCTATGGTGGTCAAACTGTATCGCGACAAGGACTATAGTAATCACGTGGAACAATTAAATGTATTGGCAATGGCACATCTCTTTACTTATATAGGAGTCCTCGGTAACATTTTATATTGTTTTCCTGATGATCAATAATTCAATTGTTTTAATTAATGTAATGACTTTTTTGCATGAAAGCATTTTCGAGTTTTTCAATCTCATTTCATTCTTCACAAAAACTACATTCCACCCATCGCACCACACCGTGAAGAATCGCCGACAAAGACAAAATCATCTGAATACTTCTCCATCTCACAGGTACACTACGCTTGCACACTCCATGCATTAATACCACACTGCTTACGGTTCCGGTTTTCTCGCTGTTTCAATTAGGATATCTACTATACCCGTTTGCATGGTAAGGAACGCTGAATCCACACCTTGCCAGGACCGCCAACATTTCGTATTAGTCTCATGGATGACGTATTTCATCTGTTCTTCCCGGGTCATGCTTGGCACTGTATGCTTCACTTCACTCCAATCTTGATTCAGTGCCCATTTAGTAAAGATTTTCCCTTCTCTGTTTTATCGAAAATAAATGTTTATACACCATTTCAGAAAGTATAGTAACTTAATTTTCATATATTCAAAATAAAATAGATCTGTTGATGCATCCCTGGGGACAACGAAATTCAGAATTACAGGCGATCAGATTTCTCCTGTTTCATAATTGTCAGAACAATAATATGCTTTTTATAAATATGTAGGTATCACGAACATTCACATCTCTGATTTCAGTCTGTCCATTGTCTAACTACGTTAATCTGTAAGTCTCTCCGTCTGTCTAGCGTTTTCGCAACTTAGAACGTGATATATACACACAACTATATACAGGGCGAATTTTAACTGTGTAATCGGTCGATAGTTCCGTTATTATACCCAGATATCTAAAAAGTTATACAATCCCCAACCCCCAATTTTTAAACCTCACAAAATTACTCTGAAAATAATCCGGGCTCCTCTGAAACTACAAAGAGCAAAGTTTGAGCGATTTTTATTTGCTTTGTTCATTCCCCAAGCCCGATTTACAAAGAATACAAAGTCTCTTCATCCTTAGTAATAGTAGTAATATTTTGTGTAGAGATGTCGCCAAATACGAGCGGTACTTTCCAAGTTTACAGATGGGCCAAGGATTAACGGAAAGACCGACCGACAGAGACCGAATGAAATGAATGACATGGTTTTTCGAAATGCACATGTCCTATCGTATCATAGAAACATTTTTGCACCTTGTGGATAATGCTTTAGTGACGGAATTATTAGTAGGTATAACAAAAAACAATTGAAATATGTATAACTCCAAACACAGATATTTTATTAAAAATGTTCCCCAACCTTACGATTATAAATCTTGTCAGGCTTTTGAGATGTCGGCTTAGAAGACTTATGATTTTGTTTTTTTTTTTCATCCATGTAGAATAACCTTAGGGTCTAGTGCCTAGATGTGTAGTCTGTAAATATAATGTTAGAGAATGCTGCGAAAAAAAGTTACAGGCAGATTCAGCATCTAAGAATATGAAGAAAGATACACAGGGTAACCAAAATGGAACATCATACACAGGACTGCATTTTAAGGGGGGGGTATTCTATGTAATATTTTGTCCTCTATTGCTTCACTAAAAAGATACGGGGTGTTGAAGTTAAGAAATAAAAAACATTTTTTTTAAATATCTTCAAAACCGTCAACGGGAATGAACTAAAATTTGGCATGTGGATTTACCTAAGTATTGTCCACATTCAAGAATCTTTACTTAAAACTAACGTGTACCAGTGGCGGAGATACAGGGGATTAGTGGCATTATTTTTTTCAAATAAAAATAGTACACCACTATTTTTTTTCAAACGCAATTTTTTGAACTTTGCCTTCAGGCGTAATCTATATGCAGGTTTTATTGATTTGGTTTTTTGGTCAGGTAAATCGCTTTTTACCAGGAGTTGAACATTTAATTCTCATAATGAACATACGTGGTCGTTAGAAAATCCCCGTTCTGTAAGAATCTACTCGTTTCAATACAGATTTTCTAGAAATGTCGGGTGCGGCATATTCAATGGCATCCTTTGATGGTTAGCAACGACAATGGCAAAATGGACTTCGTCTTGTGCAGTCTATATGAGTTGTTCGAGTGTGAGGTTTGTACAGAGCCTGATATTCCTGAGCCGTGAGTTTTTCTTCCGAGACCTCGCTTTCCCTCAATTTTGTCTTCAATAACTGGTTGTGGCAGTTAGTATTCCTCGTTCTGTAATATGTGCCTTAAATAAGCCGTTTTTCGCGTTTTGATCATGTGGAGGAGTTCCCAACCTGCGTCTCCTTAGCATTTATAGTATGTGATTGAATTTTTAGGATTCTCCGATATAACCACATCTCAGAAGGTTTATTCCTTTTATCGATTTTTAGTGTCCATGCTTCTGACCCTTAACGCAATAGGAACCATGTTACATTTATTTAAGACACATTAAGGAATTGGCAAATGCAAATGCTTCATTTTACACATTTCGGGCCCTTCTGAAAGACTTATAATAATGGCAAGACTGTAAGTTGAACGAAAATAAAAATTGCACCACAGCCTCTGGTATTAAAAAAAATTAATGTCACTTTCTTAGAACGTCTTTTAACTGGTAAAACTAGAAAACATAATAAGAAATGCCGAAATCCATCTTTTCTCGTTCATTCTTAGACCACATTCGGCCAAGTTACCTTAAAAAAAAAGAAAAATTAAAATTTCGTGACGACGATGCCACGGACAAATATACGAATGCACGTTAATTTAAACTTTCGACACCCAGATGTTTGAGGTTAAGCGACTCTTTGACTTTTTCGTTAGGAATAACAATAATTTTACCAGTGACCTAATACTGTACCACCCTGACAATTATGGCTTCAATGTTTATCGTTTTTGTACCAGATTTGCACACTCATCAGCAACACAAATGGGAGTAAATTTCTAAAAACTTATTGCTTATTTCCGTCTTATGACGTAAGAGTTATTTGTTACCTTATTCCCTAAGAGATTGATCCAGTCCTCCCTACTTTAAAAATATAGTAATTTAGAAGGAAAAACTATTTCTGGGTGAATTAGCTGTCTGTAATACTGTTACTCTGCTATCAGCTGACAGACATCCTCGTTATTAAGACAAATCGTTTTATATAAATCTTAGTAAACAAGATAATCAATTTCAGGTTCTTCGAGGACTATCCGCAACACAAACAGTTATTTCCATTCAGAGACGTACCAAATAAAGAGTTAGGACAAAACAAGCGATTTCAAGCCCACTGCAGCGCTATTATGTACTCCTTGACTTCTGTCGTTGATGTAGTGGATAAACCAGATCTGTTAGTAACCATTTTGATGAAAATTGGACGTGATCATGTACCAAGAGGAGTTAATGAACAAGGGCACCTGGTAAGGATTTGTGTGTATGGCATAAAATTGTTAGAGATAAAAATATTCTCAAGTCACTTGTCAAATAAGTAATGTAATCGCGAAAAACTTCGAATTCGAGATATTATATCATCTTGGATGTTACATCATATGTACCATATATTATACTGAAAGTCCATGACACAAAACACTAGGGGATCTGCTCCCGGGTATAGTTGCACGGCCATCAAGGAAATAAAGCGCTTGGCGGGTTAACAGTTCCCAGGGGTCGACTGGTGGGTCAACATGGACCCCTCCCCTCAAAAAAAAAAGACGAACACGTCGCTCATATGTTAGAACCATTTTTGTGGCTAATAATAGAGATGAGCCTGCCAACATCAAAGTATGTCCGGTAGGCTGACTAACCCTCCCCCTTTTCACATTCCCACCGCGTTACAGTTCGCCTCACCATATGAGAAGGAAAAAACAAGCGTGGACGAATATCGTTTCTTCTTGCATACTGCGCTGGATTGGCAGAAGGTTGACGGCTAATTGTTTATCAGGAATAATATGCTAGAAGGCAAAGAAAAAACAAGCAAAATAAATAGACCATCAATTCTTTTGCATACTGCCCTGGGTTGGCAAGCGGTTAGTGCCCAGTTGAGAACGGGAACCAAAGAAAGTAAACGGTTGGCGAGCCGTGGTTCCCAGGGGTAGACTGTGGGTCAATATGGACCCCCCAAATAGACGGTCCAGTCACTTATCTACTAGAAACATTTTTTTGGGTGGGAGGGATGATAATGATGGAAGAAATGTTTCCCACTCACAGGTAGGTGTACAGTGGATGCACGCGCATCAAGGAAAAGCGTTTGGTGGGTTATGGATCGCTCATATCCTAGAAGCATTTTTGTGGGTAGTGATAGAGACGGGCCGCCAATGTCAAAGCATGCCCGGTTGACTGACTCACCCCCTCTTTTTACTGTTGCCTCCTGCTTTCCGGTTGCCGCCCTCTCCCCCAGATGGGAAATCGTTTGCACATGTTAGAAGGACAGAAACAAGCGTAAATAATAGATAATCAGTTTTTATTGCATACTGTGCTGGGCTAGCGAAGGGTTAGCATCCAGTTGTTTAAAAAATATTTGCAGGAGAGCCTGTCACAAACCCTAGGGTATCTGTTAAAAGAAAGGTTTTCATTGCCAGGTATGCTGGGTGCACGGGTATCAAACAAATTAAGCGGTTGGTGAGTTGCGGTTCTCAGGGTCCGACTGGTGGATCACTATAGACTCCCGTGGTTCATATGCTGGAAGCATTTTTTTGGGATAATATTATAAGGGCTTTTATACTTTGCTGCCATTTTTCATAGTTTTCACAATCTGCTTATATGATTCTTCCAAAGAAAAGGAGAATTTAATTGTATTGCGATATAATTTATCCAAATTCAAATCCAAATCTTTTGAACATCTAATGATTCAATTTAACAATTATATAGTTACTATCACCAAAAATATTTATATAAATAAACTAAGATCAGCATATTTTTTATATGTTAGGTTTAAGGACGAATATTTTTCAAAATTATTATTTCGAAGCAAAAGCAATTATTGCATAAAATAATAAATAGGCAAACAATAGGTTATAAGGTCTAAAAAGACTGGATTTGTATCACACAAAGAATAAAAACACCGTAGTTTGACAGGTACTGCTTTTTTTACTTTGATAAATTGATTTACTGCTTTTATGCCTAGGAAATGTAATCAATATGAAATATTTGTCAACACGAAAAAGTAACTATTTTTGTCGAATGTCGTGATCAATAATATATTTTTTAATTGTAATCATGAAAGAAATGTATTAGCATCAAAACCTAAAGAAACAGTAGGTGAACTATCGTTTAGCTAAGTACGGCAGTACACCCACCTAGCCCTGGGAATTAAACGCACCTAGACATATCCCACATATAGATTTCCACCCATATTTGCCATTAAAGAACGTCTCACATCGAATGCAATGAAAATTGAATATGAACCTGTAGCATCAAAGCCGCTGAGGATTGTGGTTTACTCATCGCAATTTGAACGCATCGTTTGTTATAAATGTTCGTAGTTATTTTTTTCCTGGATCGACGTCGCTGTTTTCAAATATCCACACATATCTACAATTGGGTCTTGATTTTAATTACATTTTGACCCTTATCCGACACATATTCATATCACTATGTATGTATGACGGCAAGGTGACCTCGAAGTTAGTTAGTTTTCGTTAGAAAACAAAAAACTTAAAATTCATGTCTTGTGTTTTCTGCTTATTACTCGTACTAGAGCGTCAATGAATTAGCATTAGCATCTGCGGTACCACAATATACTGTGCAGGTGTTTCTGAAATTACGTAGTTCAATAACACACAGGTACACAAAAGCAACAAACATGCAAACAACAATTATATTTTTTAAAGGAATGAATACTTAATTTTGATATTAAGACAAGGCTAGGGACACCTCAGATATCGAATTTCATCAGCTTGAGCTGTAGCCACTGAAATAGAAATTTCAAAGTTGAAGTGTAAAATCTGTCCTCCTTCCCAGACATTTTGGTGACGAAACCATCCTCGAACGATGTATTGTCATTTAATGACACCATACGTATGTCCCCATTTGAGATAGGACATGCATATTTCTTATATATCGAAGAAAGTCACATTCATAGCATATAAAATAAAATTCCTAACTGGTATATTAATTGAATGTTATCAACGAATAATATACCAAGCTTTAGTCGGGCCACACATAACATATGGTACCGTGGTATGGGGTGCTTGCTGCATGCACGGCATATCTTAAAGAACAATTTTGAAATCAATCTTAGGCAAATCAAAATTATACCTAACTGATGACTTGTATCATGATGCAAAACTAGATGATACTAGACAATTTACTTCTTACATACCATCACCCATTATGACAAAATTATTAGTGAACGCGACACAATTGAAGATAGTCACAACACCAGATATAAATTACGGATAAAGAATGTTCCTAAACCAAACAAATTTGTAACGAAACGATCTCACCTTTTTTATCCAAAACTGTATGAACATTTACCAAAGAATTTAAAACAAGTACGTAATATATTCAAAAACAATTAAAAAATTGACACGCTTGAGAGAACCAACATTCATAGGATGATCTCAAATATTACTTAGTAAATACTGACATTCTTACAAATAATTACGTTTTTAGATCTCTGTTCTTTCATTTTTATCCATTGCAATTCGACATATTGATTGCACAGGTAATGTCCTTCTATGGATAAATTATATTTATTTACTAATTTCATCTTACCTGTATTTATAAAGTAAATAAAAATATTATTATATATAAATATTATACCAGACAAACGCTCACAGACTGTGATTTAACTTTTGAATCAGGTGAATATTGTCTTATACTATCGTACCCATGTGAAGGGCTTATTGCTACGCCAAATATCGATTTTGGCATCCGTAGGCTAGTTTGGCTAAGGATGCTTGTTACGTCGCCATGGCGCTCCACTGGAGAAGTCCTCTTGTTCACAGATAGGATTTTCAAGTGTTAGGTCCCCTTTTTCCTCCTACCAACTACTTTACGCCCTGGGCACTAAATCAAGTTCTCCCGTGTGCAGTCTGTAGATTGAAAATATGCTCAGATCGGGCGGGAACAGCTCGTACTGTTTACTGTTAGGCACCTGGTAATATACACTAGTAGTACCTATTTACTTATGCTTTTGTCCGAAACTTATTCTATGTTTTTGACATGTACAATATGCTAGATTTTCACAATTTCTGTAACGATGCCTCGCTGTGACATTTAAAAAATAACGATGATATTTTACTTTATTTTTTGTGTGCAAATGGCTAAAATACAAACGGACATAAGAGTAAATTATGAATACAATGTAATTCCTTGCTCTTTCACTTTTTCTCTGACGTTTTCTAGTGAGCTTAATCTCACGTAGGTTGTCAAAATAGTCTACATTGTCTACGCATTGTCTACAACACTCAAAATGTTTTGAATTCAGTTCCTTTTAGCGTTGTGTATGTGGTATATATGTGCGTACCCTTCTGTCCCATTAATCTGTTTTTGATAACATAACTCAAATGCGAGATCAAACCACCTTGTTTTTAAACTTTTTGAAAATTAATAATCGGTCTGGCTTAAAACTGATTTCTTTCACTTAACTTTAAACTGACGTGATTACAAGTCATATAGTTTAAAGATCAAGTCAGTCCGTTTCCTGCCGTAAGAAGTACCAAGCCAATCTACTTGACTCCACCTCCTTAGCAGGAATCACTGTTACAAAGTTTATAAGCTATGCAGTACGGTTGTATTTTCTAGTAAAATATCATTTTCATAAAACGGACTGCATTGCAGACTACAGAGCAACGTTTGGGTGTACTGAATTGATTTAAAATCATTGAGTTAATTTTAGGTGTCAGCACAGCACCCAAATCTTTTGAATAGCAAACATTCCTAGACTTCCTGTACTCAACAGTGAGGGAGTAGAATCGATGAGATAAGATAGGCAATAGTTTTCTTCCCAGTTGAATGATATCAAATTCTGACAGCTGCTGACATTCATCAAACAAGATTGTGAGTGCATTCATTTTCGGTGAGGTAATTCCTTCCTGGCATCTCATATCAACGTTCAGGAATAAAGTTCCCGGCACGGGTATTACGTATCTTGAAAGGTGACATCATGTGACGTTTTTTTACACTTCGTAGGCTTTTTGTAACATAACGTACGAGATGTTAACTTAGCACAAGCTGTTGTACATTAGTTGTGAATGCGTTTTGTGGCTGTACTTGTTGCTTAAACGTCAGCAAACACCGATCATAGCGAGCAAACGTGGAATAAACCATTGGCACACTACAAACTACCTAGTCTGCAAGATGACAGTTCGTCGGTTTCTTTCACGTTTTTTAGGTTTTATACATGATACCCCTGCCGAAGAGTAAGGGCCGTATCGTTAGTCGTTCCTACAATATTGTAGGACGCCTTTATGGCCTCCTTGATTTTCATAGCCTTCTACTGTTCTATGTCAGCGCTCTATTTTGAGGTTAAGTCACAATATGCATCAAATTCTTCATGCTTCTGATTTATATCATCTGTTTCATCCGCCTGAAATTTCCTACAATTTGTAAAGAAACCATAACTTGACAATAGGAGAGCGCTGACGCTGTCACAGAACAGTAGAAATCTAAAATTACGCCAGCCTTTCAGAAGGAGAGAAAATCAAGGAGGCCATAAAGGTGTCCTACAACTGTAGGAACGTCTGGCGATACGGCTCTAAGACAACCACGCCCACTCTCCCTCATTTATTATACTTCCTCATTTTAAGAATTAGCCCTCAGGTGTTCAAACTAAAAACGCTGCTAGAACCCTTTTCGTGTTTGTCCCAACTGCAGTATACCATGCTAATACACTCTTACTTCTTTCAGGAGTTGAAAACAACAATAGTCAAGGTGTTTAAAACGTTAATGAGTGAAGAAGAGATGAAATCTTGGACAAAAGCTGTAAACGTTATATTTGACGTGATATTGAAAGGTGCAGGGGAAATCAAGGGATAAGCTGGATAGTTTTTTCAACGTACTTAAATAATATAATTAACGTATTATCTACCTTTTTACTTTTTACTCCTGGGACTTTGTTTCTTAAGTTTTTATAGGGTCGACTAATAAAGTGATATTAACGTTATAAACTGAATTTGATGCTCCCTATATTCAAGCGGTTGCCCCACTTTTCTCATTATTAAGGCCAGTGGTCCTTAGGGGAGCCAACTGAGCAGTGAGTAACCGGAAACTCAGCCATGTTGGATCGGACGGCAAAAACGAGGGTAAACATAAACGCCTACTGAAGCGAAGAGAGATGAGGAATCCGTATGACTCATTATACACCGAGAAAACGTAGCCAATTCGGAAATTTTGATTTTGACTCGAAATTATCAGGTAAAAATATCATGTTTTCCAAACCTTGTGATAACCTAGATTTGTCAGAGCACAGTTATTGTATACATCATTTAGTGAAATGCAATTTGTTCTTTTAAACTCCAAGTATTATCTAAATATACCTTCAAATTTGAATAAACTAGTTCATTAGAACTAGTGATATACTTTTACAAAAACTGATTAAATGATCTTAATAAATATAATGAAATTGTATTACTTAGAGCTGGTAAACGCGTTTTAAGGGTTCAGATATTTTAAATAAATTGGTGTATTCAATCTACTCGTAAGGAAGTGGTTTGATAAATTTAATAGCATGATTGCATTTTGGTTCAATTGAACCAGTTTCATAGACTCAAGTAAACTGCTCTAGAAATCTGAGGTTAAACTTGCTAGCTGTTTGATTGGTTTAAAAGAAAATTGATTGGTTCCATTAATTTTTTGTTCGGTGTATGAAATACATGCAGAAACAGTTTTCTACATAGCGGCTTACTGAAACGCTGTTTTTTTTCAACACTAGAGTGTACAGCTTTTATGTTTGTCATTGTATTTGATACGTTCAGCTCATGTTGAACAATTTAGCATTTCGTTGGTATAAATATGAGAAAATGCGGTTTAAATATCGTAATTGCGTACATAGAGAAAGTAATGGTAGAATCATGGTAGCTATCAATACAATTTTATTTAAGCCCAATCATGATATTGTAAAGTACCGCACGAGTCTGTCGCGGCTTATCGATTAAAGATCTGTCTTTGTAATATTCTTGCAAAAAAATGTTACTCGGAAACCAAAATTAAATACCTTACAATGGTGTTGCTTGTCAAATATCGAGCGAATGCAGTTGCAATGGTCTTGCAGGGAAATTTTAGTATTTATCACTTCAGTTGCAATCCTTTTATACATATTTTCTGTTAAAATATGTTTTATAATAACCTTGCAGTGCATTTAAAAGGTTATGCCTAGTTTCCCTTCACCGTGAGCATTTCATCATTTTCACGATGGTACCATTGCATTTCAATGCTAGAAAGTTGTGGTAAGTATATTTATAATGTTCATACAGGCTCATTTTGCAATAAGTATAAGTGATATCAATGCAACCACTTACATAACCCTTAGTATATGCTAGAATTATAAATAATATTGAAGGGTAAGTATGAAAAAGACTTCTTTCTAGATTCAACACTTTTTTTCATAGCATTATCCCAGGAGTCACATCATGGAAGAATAGCACGTCAATAAGGAAAACACCCTGGTTATTACAAAGAAGAAGGTCTGTCAATGGGATCACCGCTTTCACCTTTAGTAGCTAACGTATACATGGAGTGGCTTGAGTCAATCTTCATTAAAAGCCGTGATATCAAGCCTGCTACAAATAATTACTTTTGTGTTTTTTCCTAGAGTGCATTCCCAGCCAGCACGGTGTCGTGGAATCGACGTAGATATTTGGTGATTTTGGTCGAAGTGGAAATTTAGGGAAAATTCTACGTTTATTCGACGTTAGTTATGGGTCAAATTTCGCTTAAATTTGTCCGATATAACCACACCACGTCGATAAAACGTGAATATTACGACGTGTGTACACCTCTATACCAATTTCCACTGCCGCGAATAAAACCCGATTAATTAACGTAAACGTTTTAGTTTGTTATAGTTTCCTCCTGTATTCTTATAATGTAATCGATAAAGCGTTTTATCCACGTGAAACAGTGACCGCAAATTTGTACCTGTGTTGGTTATTTATACACGTGGAAAAAACGTGGATGTGGCTTGGCATTTTATCACAAATTTAAATTGTAATCTTTCAAATAGAGAATGTCCGAGTGACGATGATAAGTGTTTGGGTGATGTAATTTATTTGTAGATACATCCTGGTGTCATAAATATAAAAGCGCATATCGAACCTAAAATGCTTTGCGAGCTTTGTTATAAATAATAATGCCGTGTAAACATATGTATTAGTCATTATTAAGTGAAACTCATCGACCACCATAGTGAAATAATAAAATATGAAAGTGTGATTGAGAATTAATTATAATATCGATGTTTCCCCATTTCATGACCAATAAATTTTAAATATCGCGCCTTGATAGGGGAAGCGACTAATGATAAAGGGTGCCATGGCTGCATTGCCAGATTGCAGAATTTTTATCACAATCAACGGTATTAGCTCCCAAGATTTTTACATACTTATATTTCAGATTTGGAAAGCTACAGATTGTTTTCTTGTTATGATTACTTTTGCAATGATGCAATTTTTTGCGTCTATATAATGCTTTTGGCTGAAGCTGATCTTTGTGTGTCGTTCCGTTTTCCTTTGATCTATCCTTTTTTTCATAGCTATACTATTAACAATTTCCTAGAGTTCATAATAATAATAGTTGTTTTCTGATTGAGTCTAGTACATTTCCTGTGGAATTTTATATAAAGTACATTGAGCTTCTCCAACTCGATAACATTTGGAAACATTGAACAAGCAGCATTAGGCAACAATGTTTTTGAACAGACATCCGATCCAATCAAAGCCATTCCCACGCTCCCCATCAAGAACCTCATGTTGTTTCTTACATCGCGTTCCATCCTGCATCAATTTTGAATTTTGCGAAATGTGCACGTATCTTATCCTCCTGTAAATTCTAAAGTTAAAGTGTGTTGACAAAAGCCATACTGTGTTACTGCTCATCGTTAAATCAAGAATAACGTCGTGACAGTATATATGCCTTTGTATGAGCCATAGGCATAGGAATAGAATTTTTAGATGAAATTGTTGGTGGTGCTGGGGGCGATATTGCCATAGTGCATGAAAAGTGGCTGACGCCGAGAAAGAAAGGGTGTGGTGGCCACCATATAAACAGCAAGTACGAGCAGTTGCCGTATAAGCAGTATCGGTGAGTGTTTTTTGAGGACGGTAGGTATATTCTTTACCTATAATTAAGGGCCGAATCGCTATCTTCAGTCGTCCCAATTATTGTAGGACGCCTTTATGGCCTCCTTGATTTTCACAGTTTTCTACTGTTCCGTTTTACCGCTCGATTTTGAGGTTGAGTTACAAATATCTATTCGCATCAAAATGTTGATTTATATCTATTTTATCAGCCTGAAACTTCCTACGAATCAAGAAGAAAACATAACTTCAGAACCCCAGCCTTTTGATGAGGAGAAAATACTATAAAAATCAAGGAGGCCATAAAGGCATCCTTCAATTGTAAGAATGACTGACAATGCGGCCCTGAAATGTATTTAATTACTCTCTAAGTCTCTCTATCTCAGTCATCAACACTTTTCATGTGAAGTATACGTATCCTTGCTGTCTGGGTTGTCTTCATAAAAAAAACTAATTAGATAATCAAAGCTTTATTCCATCAAATGTTCAAGAAAAACACCATTCTGACGGATACAAGTGCGGCATCCTTTTAATAAAGAAAAACATATTTCCGCAAAATTTATTGTGGCTTGAATTTACTGAAACGCATTACACATTCTTTCTTCTAACTGATCAACAGTATTCTCTAGAGAAGCTAAGTATGAGCTGGCATCAACACTTTTCATGTGAAGTATACGTATCCTTGCTGTCTGGGTTGTCTTCATAAAAAAAACTAATTAGATAATCAGAGCTTTATTCCATCAAATGTTCAAGAAAAACACCATTCTGACGGATACAAGGGCGGCATCCTTTTAATAAAGAAAAACATATTTCCGCAAAATTTATTGTGGCTTGAATTTACTGAAACGCATTACACATTCTTTCTTCTAACTGATCAACAGTATTCTCTAGAGAAGCTAAGTATGAGCTTGCATTTAAACTTTGTGGCAATTCGTGTATAAGCAGTTGGCCATTGGAAATATCGCACTAGACATTTCTAGAAAATATGCGCTAAAACGAGTAGATTCTCACAGATCGGGGATTTTCTAACTACCAAATATGTTCAACTAACTCACAAAAATTTCGCCGTTGCACTTTGTCGCCGGGCGGCAGACATTGTACATTTTGCTGATGGTAAGAATGTAAAACTTTCCGATTTAAAATCCTCCACGCAAGACTTTGGGAACGAAAACACCCGTATAACACATAACTTCGACACACTATCTCCCGAAAAACCTCAAGATGGTATCAAGGCCTCCTATTTTATTTTGCAACTAATTATTGTATCTTGGCTCTTCATGAATGATCTAATTTGTTTTGACTAGTTATTTGTAGCAAATTGAACGTAGAATTCGGGATAATTGCGCCTTTCGAAAAAAAAAACCAGTGTCGTACTATTTTTATTTGGAAAAATAATGTCACTAATCCCCTGTATCTCCGCTACTAGTGCACGTTAATTTTAAGTAAAGACTTTTGAATGTGGACTATACTTAGGTAAATCCACATACCAAATGTTTGTTTATTTCAGTTGACGGCTTTGGCTATATTAAAAGGAATTGATTTTATTTTTAGTTCAACACCCGTATCCTTTTAATGAAGCCCTCGAAGAAAAAATGTTACATAGAAAACCCTCCTTAAAATGTTTCATTTTTGGTCACGACTTATGAATCACGCTGTATAAAGAAAACTAACACAAACAGGACAATACTTAAATATATGTTCCAGTTATCCAGAAAACACAAAGAAATGCGTAATTAGAATAATCATCGACCGGGCAAAGAGTACCTACCACATCAAAGAAGGTCTAATAGGAAATGGCTACCCAAATAATAAAGTTCTGAAAGAAAACAACACCAACAACAGCAGAAACACGAGAAATACACTAATTCTACCATACACG